AAGTCACGGTATCCTAAAACAAAACAAAACAAAACAAAACAAAACAAAACAAAAAAATAAAAATTTAAATTAAAAAAAGGAAAATGAAAACATACATGCAATTAAACAAATAATCATTTTGGAATTTAAAAGACTGATAAAACATTAAAGCAAATAAATTATGAACTACAAGCACTCTGAGAGTGCAAACCTCCGCCAAGGCCAATTTCCGCCTTCCTGTAATAGAGTAAATGCACAAAGCTGGAAACACAATTGCCGAAGTTCTGCTGTAGCAGAACTTTGAATACGTTAGCAAAATCCTATAATGAAAAGTTCCCAGACTGCTTATAGATTTATCTCTTGAGCAAATGCATATTTTTTACTTATCACAAGATCGGCAATTTTCTCAGCTTTAATTTAAGCCCTACTTTATAGAAATCGGATAAGAAATGAGGGTGCTAAGGATATTTTTGTGACAGATTGACGCGCATCCCGCATTGAAACTCTACCGTTTTGTTGATATGACTCAATGCATAGCAATGGCTCCTATGACGGTGCGTCGCTAGCTATAGCGTCTATAGGCAATGTCCAATCCAGTAATATAGATCAATGATTCAACTATTGAACACAGACCCGCAATGCCAAGACACTGTGCAGCATCCGCTTGCAGCAATAGTGGAAAATGTTCAGACCTCATAACATTTCATCGGTAAGTTTTTTTTTTTCTTTTAAATGAGAAGGCTATGTTTAGCATTGTGTTTATGTTCAGAATTAGTACTGAAGAGAAATGGATCAAAATCAATTGTGAACTACATGAAATCCCCCACTGCTGGGGGGTGAAATTAAACTTTTTTTTGTGTTTTTGTATTTCTTTTGAGTCAAGGTGTGCCATTAAAACAAAGACAGAAGTGTTGATTTGCACTCCTGATTGCTTACTAAAGTTTTGTAACAGTAAGTATGTAATATTTACACAACAGACACATTGCTATTTATCTAAATTTATTAAGCAAAAGAAAAAAGAAAGAAAAATAAAAAGTACCCTGACATTTGCTTTGTGGATTGCTTACTAAAACTCTGTAACAGTAAATATATTTATTTTTCACATGAAGTAATGTTTTTATCTATCTAAATTTATTCCAGTGTGCCTCGGAAGACATATAGTGGAGTCTCAATATGGCATGGACAACCATTATTTTGACCTCATCCTACTCCTGGTGAACAGTTACTACACCATCAGGCAGAAACGTGTTGACAGATTACACACCTCACAGCTTAAAAAAAGAGAGTCTGTTCGTCAGGAAATGACTAAGCTCATTCTCTTCAAAGGCCAATAATTAAACAATACAGAAAAAAACACTAAAAAATAGAGTAAAGAACTATGGATTTGCATTTATTTTACAAATGRCTGTCAATTTTATTGTACGTAAGAGGATTAGGGCCACTGAAAAATAAATAAATGAATTCTAACTTTAATCTCAGAATTCTGACT